CCAAAACCCCAAAACCCCAAAACCCCAAAACCCCAAAACCCCAAAACCCCTTCAATTTTTATAATAATTATTAGTTTATATTATAATGTTTAGCAAATCTGTATTGAGCAAGGCATTCCATGCCAGAAGGACCTTCTCATCTAACCCAGGGATCGTCCACAGAGTATTGAACACCTTCGATAGAAGCACTACTGCTTACGGAGTTGTCTCCCATACTCCAGTTGACGAATTGGTTGGTCATGAACCCATTGAGGTTGAAAAGAGAGATTGCGAATACCAAGCTACTACTCTTTCCAATGGATTCACTGTTCTTACTGAAAGCGAAGACTTCCCAGGACCAATCCACATGGGATTCCTGATGAATGTTGGTACTAGAGATGAGACTGCCGAAACTTCCGGATCCTTGTTGGCTCTTAAGAACGTTTATTTGAAAACATTAAAGCATACCAATGAGACTGTCAACTACGGAATGATCCAGATGTCTGGAGGAGACATGGAAATGAACTATGATCAAGAAACTACCTATTTCAGAGGTAACTGCATTGAATACGATGCTGTTGATATGTTCCAGATGCTTGTTGATGTTGCCCTCGAACCAAGATCTGTACTGGCCGCTAATGTTGCTAAATCTAAGAACAGGAAAACTCACGAGTTGGCCCAACATTTGGCTAAGTTCGACCCATTCGCTTACAATCAGGAGTTATTGCTCAGAACTGCCTATGGATACAACACCTTAGGAATGCCACATTTCGGATTAGAAGGAAATGTTGAAGGAATTGACGCCAGAGTCTTACAGAAGTTTATTCTTGACAATGTGACCCCAAGAAAGTGACTTATTTTAGGAAGCGGTGTTAAGAACCATTCAGAATTTGTCAACCTCGCAAAAGAAATGCTCGGAGAATTCCTGCCAGTTCCAGAACACCAATATCAGAGACACCAGTCCCAATACATTGGTGGAGAATTCAGAAACTGGACCGAGACTCCGAACACCAGCATCACTGTTGCTTTCGAAGGAGCCGACTGGAGCTCTAGTGACCAGCCAGCGTTCCAGGTTATTGCTTCACTTTTGGGATCAACTGACGCTCTTTCTAGAGGAAGAGCCGGAACCGGAAGATTGGCCAGGACCGTCACCAACCTTGCAAGGGAACACTCATTCGTAGACTCTGCTCATGTGACCAACGCCCACTTCTCAGATTCAGGAATCCTCGGACTCACTGTTGAAGGACCAGGAAGCCACTCTCAAGAAATTATGGAGGTGCTTCTTGAGGAACTGTCATCACTCAAGGACAAGGTCAGTGATGAAGAGCTGATCAGAGCCAAAAACAGACTGAAGATGAACATTCTGACTGATTTGGAGAGCAGAGGAGATAGACTTGAAGAAATAGGCAGAAATTATTTAGCCTTTGGAGGACAATTGACTTTCCATCAATACTGCGACAGAGTTGACGAAGTAACCTCTGCACAAATTAACGAAGTTGCCGCTAGGTTCTTGGCCACCAAGCCAACCATTTTGGTGCAGGGTTCATCAATCAATGTTGTTCCAACGATCACTGATGTGCAGAGACAATTGAACTAAGCGATGAGCATTAAAGTATTCAATAAAACGACTGCATAATGGGGTTTTGGGGTTTTGGGGTTTTGGGGTTTTGGGGTTTTGGGG